AGAGAGAGAGAGAGAGAGAGAGAGAGAGAGAGAGAGAGAGAGAGAGAGAGAGAGAGAGAGAGAGAATGACAGAGCAACTGAGGTTCATATTTAAATGAGAATCTAAACAGAGAACCCCATGATCCAAGTTAGTATTTTAATCATTAAAAGTTACGACTAGTTTCATCCTTTTATCAAAATATAAAGGAAAAGCTAACTAACATTTTTGTACCATTTTCCATTCAATTGGACTTCAGTTCAATACATGGAAATTTATCTTATTTGTAGTTATAATTATTTGGTGTTTTCCCAAGGGAGTGGGGGTGACTCAAATTTCAGATTGCACTCTTGCTCATTCAGATCAGGAGCATCTCTTTAGGTTAATTTTTCTAGTTCAATGAAAAATTGGCTAGTGTTTTTTTTTCATAGGCAAAAAAAAATTAAATGGAAGGCACTGTGGCTAGATGTTAGGCTGAAAAGAAATTAGCATTTTGTATATTTTAGCATAAAAAATAAAGTTCAGTTTAGCAAAAATAATTCAAATGAAAGACCGCAATACGTACACAAAGAAGAATCTCGTACACACATGATCAGTGTTGGGAACTACCCATATCTCCCCATGTTTGTGCAGATCCGGTGAAGTTATCACTAAAAGAAAGAGATTTGGGGAATGATTAATATTTGATGATCTGATGCCCACAAAATAAAATATATTTTAAATTCTAATAAATGGGCTGATTATCAGAATCTGACATTCATTGACTTTATTAATTGCAACCAAGACTCTTATGGGTGAATGTCAACTTTGTAAACATCAACATTAAAGGCCAATGTAATTTGTCACTAGCTTAATTACATCATGTAAAAAGCCTGCCTTGTGAAATGGTTAAGGCACCAGACTAAAAACTAGAACACAATAAGTTCTAAGCCCATTTGAGGAACAAAGCTAGCTGGGTCACCTTGTCAAACTTAGGAATAAGGCTATGACAAACCACTTCTGAAATCTTGCCAAAATCTTGCAGGATATTGTCCAGGCAGTTGCAAGGACTCTACAGCAATAATAATAATAGCAACAATGTACACCATATGGCAACATCTAGTGGACCTGAATTAATCTCAAAAAAATCTAAACAGGATCAGAATTGGTTATTGATCGGTTAAGAAACCACTAGGAAATGCTACAGCAAAAGGCTAGGCTTGGAAGTTGAAAAAAGAAGGGAGTGATAAACCACTATTGATTAAAAACAACTATAAAGAAATATTTAGATAGTCCATAGGAGTTGATTTGAGGAAGTTGTTATTGTTATTCTTAATGCCAGGGCTTTTTTTCTCATAGAACGCCCAGAACGGAGTTCCGGCACCTTTTTTGGATAGAACCTTGTAAGGTAGGCAAGGCAGGTTGTATGACATGTGTGATTTCCGGCACCTTTTTTTTTTTATTTTAGAAAAAAAGCACTGCTTAATGCTATGTATCAGAATGAAAATATTCAGATGACAAAAAGGACCTAGTTCTAAATGGCTGCTATTTTTATTGTTTCAGAATATCAGTGGGTCTACATAGGTTCAAAGAAAATCATTTGAATTAAAAACTGGAAAGATATTTTGCAGGACGGCAGCCATCCAGTTATTATTTTTAATTAAATATAATGCAACAAATGAGGACAGGCAGATGGCATGGAAGAAATCAAGGATTAATGTTTCCGTTAATGCTCAGATGTACCATGCTGGAGACCTCAAAACTAACAACTAGATAGGTTACTGAACACAGTACTTCCTGTGAAATAATAAAATCTTTAACCTAAGTCTTAGCTAATGATTTAAATAGCACAAAGTAAGTCATTAAAATTAATCTGCTACAAAATCATAGATCTGGAAGGATCGACTGCAGAATCAGAGTGCTGCAAGGGCCACAGGTGAGTCCAATCATCAGCTCAGTGCAAGAATTGAAATCAAAGCTTCCCAGAATTCTGCTTAAACAAATTGAGTCAAGACTCTGGGGCATAGATTCCACAACTTGCTGCTATGAAGTTTTTTTTTTTAAAGATTTTTAATTAGCATCTGCTTTCTTGTATTTAAATTCTTTATTCCATGTCCTGCATTCTGGAATGGAATGCCTTCTGGAATGAGTTTGGTATTTTGTGTGACATCAAGTTTTGACAAAATGAAATTCAATGGTCAAAATAGTAAGGTTCTACATTTAGGCAAGAAAATCCAAATGCACAGGTACAGTATAGGTGGTACCTTGCTCAATAGTAGTAACTGTGAGAGGGATCATGGGAGTCCTACTGGACAATCACTTAAATATGAGGCAGCAGTCAGATCCAGTTACACAGGGACCTGTTTTATGACTGCCACAACAGATGACTGTGATTCTGGGCTCAATTGCAGTTGTATTATCAATTTCTATGAATCCTTAAAAGTGTGAGGCTCAGAACTGGACAGAATATTGAGGCACTGTATTAAAAGAAAAGAACAACTTGTTAAAAAGTACATTAATAATGTGCTTAGGAACACCTCTTTGTTATGATCCTGTTAGATCAAACATTGCTGTAAACATTTTCCTAATTCCACCTCTACTTTCTGTCCTGCATTTTCCCTTCTGTATAGCAAATATACAGAAATACAAAAATAAATGAAAGATTTGTAAACCTAGAATAGTTACACATAAAAACACAGTAAATAAAATAATAAAAAAAAATCTGTTTTAAAACAAAAGTCAGTTTAAATCAGCAAAATCAACAGATTACTTCTTATGTAACACAAGATAACTGCAAGGAAATTAAATATAATTCAGCTATTTATTATTAGATATTTTAGAAGTGCTTACCTTCACATAAGGCTATGCATTTTAAGTTTCGGCTTTGCAAAAATTGGGACTGCTGCCCCTTTTTTTGTAACTGTGAAATAAAATAAATATTGGAAGTATTATATCAAATATTTTAAAAATGCTTTGGTTCATGAATTATTCTTGCTGGTATTACTGATATAATCTCTGTAGTCAAAACCACAGTCATTTTTTATATTAGTCATAACTGTCCATTCAAGACCTTGCTCCAATAATACAGATAATTTCTGCAGACATTATGAAGTCTGAATATTTTCCTTTAAAGAATGTTTTTTTTTTTCATTTTATGGGCCAGTGAAAGCTTCTGAAATGAGATTGTATCTGTTAGGAGCATTTATAAATATGTAAATAAAATTCCCTTCTCCTGTCCTCTACCAGAGGCCTGGGAAATTGGGGGTTCTGCATGGTATCTTAGCTCTTTCTAGTGCTGCATTTTTCTGGATGTTTTGGTGTTATTCCTAGGATATGTTGGAGCCACTTTCTCAGTTTAGGAGTCAAAGCCCTGAGAATTCATACCACCACAGGGCCCATTTTGGCCTTTACTTTCTACATCCACTCCAGTTCCTCCTTTAGAACCTGGTACTTCTCTAGCTTCTCATACTCCTTCATCCTATGTTGCTGCCACTTGGCACCACTACATCTATCACCACTGTTGTCTTTTGGTCCTTTTGTCTACTACCACAATGTCTGGGTGACTGGTCAATACCTGCCTGTCTGTCTGAATCTGTTATCCTCTATGACTTTCTGGACTTAAGAGGATCTAGCCCTGTAGTGGCGAACCTATGGCACGCGTGCCACAGGTGGCACACAGCTCTCTCTGTGGGCACGCGCACTGTCGCCCCAGTCCTAGCCCTTCAGCTGGGTTTTATAAAACCTTTTGTTTTAGGCCTCCGCCACCGGGTTCAATCAATCAATCAGTTTCAACTTCCCGCGGGGAAAAAAAAGATCTCACAAAGTTGGAATTGATTGATTGAACTTTTTAGTCCCACCCAGTCTACCGTTACCACCGCAGCCACGCCCACCCAGTGGGCCATGCCCATCCAGTGGGCCTCGCCTACCCAGCACCTGACGATACATAAGTAGGTTTTGGGTTGCAGTTTGGGCACTCGGTCTCTAAAAGGTTCACCATCACTGATCTAGCCCGTACACTGTTCATATGTTCCTATACACAATGCCAGTTGTCTGGTTGTGCTGTTCAGTGCCTTTATGTTACACCCAATGTCTCCAAGGCCTCCCTGCAGCTTAGTCCTGCCTAAGCACCAAATCCACAGAAAACCCCTGTTTCTATGGATTTGGTGCTTAGTGCCTGTTCTTGTGCTGCTACAATCAGAGCCTCAGTGTTCCTTTTAGCCCTTTCAGTCCTTTTTGACCAGCCCTTTCCAGCCACTGATTAGATTCCCCAATGTCTGCCTCCTTAGCTACCTATTGATGGTTCATTCCATGAAGGATCTTGTCTTGCCATTGTACTTCTTTTGTCTGATCTTCGTCCCATGTCTGCTGCTACCTCAGGGATTTTCTCATCTTTGGGTGCTGTCTCACTGATGTACTCCAGGATGCTCTGGGCTTTCTCCAGGATGCTGGTTTTGATACTTACCAGACTGCACCAGCTACCCTCTTTGGGTATTGGACTTGGGGTGGGAACCTATGTGTGTTGCAAGACAGCTTCCATGTCCTCCTTTGCCCATCTCTTACTATAGCAACAGGAAATCTGATGATTGGGAGGACATATATTTGATGTATGGATTCTGTTCTTCCCACTGAGCAAGCTCTTCAAGATCTATTCTCTCTCTCTCTTCCTCCCTTTCTCCCTTGTCCATATATATATATAAGTGAACTCTAATTATCTATGGAATTGTATGAATGGATGTGTCAGCTGCATCACTAGCTTCCAAATGTCTTTCTAAATCAAAATATATTAACAGGCAGAATAAGAATAGAAGGACAGCACACACACAAAAATTATGATATGTCCTTGTCAAATATTAATGCATTGGCTTTCTGGATCTGTCCTTCCCTGTATGAGTCACCCTATGTGAATAAGGATGCTCTGGGGGTAGATTACCACTGCATCTGGCACCTGCCTTGAGCAAGGAGAACCATAAAAAAAGAAAGTGCTTTTTTGAAGTGTTTCATATATTTTCTTTACCTGTAATACACTGCTGCTTTTACTGCTTGAAGCAGGCTCGTCCTTAGCTGATACCTTCTGCTGTTTCTTGTTCATCCCTAAAGACATTGGATTTACATCAGACATAGTGGTGCATAAAATACTGTATGTTCCACTTCATACAGAGATTGCAGACAAGTATTAATGCCATTGCTGATTCTTATTTCCAGCAGCCTAAAGTTTAGTAGTTAAGTATATTTATGCAGGCAACAACAATGACCCAATCACACAGCATTCTAAAACCCACTTCTGTTTCTCATAAATAAGGGGAAGTTGCATGCTAAGCTCAGGTTAAAAACCAGTCAAAACTGGGTTTCACATCAGCTGAGCCAATCTTAAGTTTATGTATAAACTGCAGAATACCATACAATGTTAGCCTAGCTAATATTTTTTGTTGGAACCTGGATGAAATTTACTACCTGGGTCTTAAAGGACAAATACTATTCCTGCCCACTGCATCAGAAAGCCCAGCATCCCTCCCCCCAGATTTGGCACCTGACTGGATCTTCTGTCGGAGCTAAATATATAATTTTTAGAGAGGGGGGTATTTCTGTATCTGGTCTTTTGTAGCAGATGTGTCAGGATTCTCAGGAACTACAGTTGAGAACTACAGTTTCTAGCTAAAATGGTCAATAATGAGGGATGCTGGGAATTGTAGTCCAGCAAACATTTGGAATGTCAAAAATACTTCATTTCTATTGATATTCTTGGGAGAGTAGAAAGCAATTTGATATTTCTTAGTTACATATGGAAGGTTAAATGTAATTAGTAAGGAAGTAAAATTTGTATGAGCAGACCCCTTGAGGAATCTTGATCTTAATTTATCCAAGCAGCTCATGGGGATATAGAGGGCAAGCAGAGTAACAAATGAATAATATTGGTGAAAGTAGATAAATGACATAGTTCATGAAAACTGAGAGTTTAGCTACTGCCTTCTGTTAGCTTCAGACTCCTGTTAGAGTAATAAAGAACAGCCTTATATCAGTTTATATTTTACCTAGAGTATTTATTTCAGTACAAGGTACCTCCTACTCAACAAAAAGCAGTTTCTGTATTCCACTTTGGAATTCAGCTACTTTAGTGTTTCTCAATCTCAGCAACTTTAAGATGAGTAGACATCAACTTCCAGAATTCTCCAGCCAGCAATATGCTAAATTCTGGGAATTGAAGTCCACACATTTAAAGTTGCTGAAGCTGAGAGACACTGAGCTACTTGACCATCTTTCTTCTTCCCTACGGATGTTTTCTTCTAAACTCTATCATGTTGCATATGTAGAATAAAGCTGGCCTTATTCAACAAATAAAATTTAGAACTGTGGACACTTTTTAAATTAATTTTTATTTACTAAATTTATATGCCTCCCATCTTTCCTAGGGGTGACTATTATTTATTTTTCCACTTTCTTTGGTATCCCCCACATGGACAAAGGGATTAATATACATCACCTGAGTAACCAAAAGATATGCTTGACAATGGACTAAGGTAAATACCACTTCCAAACATTGCACCATGGAGCTGAAAGTTGAAATAAACAAAAAGCTAGTAAATTCTTCAGTTGTGGCATTTTATCAAAGATAAATTTGGAAGGTTTTTCTTACGCTAATTTAAGCCAGTTTTGGCTAGTGGATATATTTGAATTTACAAAAGGCTTGCTGTGGTGGCTACAGCCAATCACAAAGCCTCCATTTATCAGAAAGCAAGCATGATGAAGTGCTTCTCTCTCTCTCTCTCTCTCTCTCTCTCTCTCTCTCTCTCTCTCTCTCTCTCTCTCTCTCTCTCTCTCACACACACACACACACACACACACACACACACACACACAGAGACCCATCTGACATCTGAAGATGCTCTTTATCTCCTCAACCTTTGCAGCACAAGTTGCTGGAAATGATGGCTACTCTATATGTTACTTGTTGAATGTGCTTTTACTTTAGGATTATTATGTTGAAATGTTAAGATTTTATGTTTTAGTGATTGTGTGCTTTTATTTGATTACACAGAATGGCCTATAAATATTGAAGAAATAATAAATAAATAATAGAGGTACAGGGAGGCAATTTTAACTTCATCTTCTGTTACTTTTCCAGATGGTTCTTGTAATCGATAACAAAACTCAAGAGGGTGAAAAGAATATCATTTCGGTTCCTGGCAAGTTCTGCTCCTTGTAGTATAAGCAAATTCAGCTCCTTGTAGTATAAGCAAATTCAAGGATTCCAGGTAATAATAACCGTGATGATTACGCCAACCTGATAGTCATCTTTTCATTCTATGATATTCTATGAAATTGTAGATTATGTAGGAGATGATCAGGCTGAGCACAAAGGAGGGATCAAATGTGTCATCAGTTATAAGTCCCGTTGCGCTCACAAGAGATCTAAGTCCAGCTCACCTTGAATTCCTTCTACTCTTATCTACACTAGTAGTTCAGATTCTTGTAGAGAGCTTAAGCATACAATACATCTTTATACCCATTTGAACTTCCTGGATCTCCTGATTTTCCTGGAGCTTGACAGGTTAGGCCTCTATGGCTTTCAAAATAACATTCACATTTTTGCTGCTACTTCTCACTTCTTTACCTGCAGCCTTGTATTGGAAGCAACCACTAAGCCATTCCTCAGGATCGAGTGCCAGTTTTCAATGTGCGATCCACTTAAATACAAAAGACAAGACAAGCAGAAATCAAAGTAAGGAAAGCAGTATAATCAAAAAGCACTACCAATGACATTAGAATGGATATGTATTGCTATCTCTGTTTATTTGGTGAGACAAGGATTCAGTGATATATTTATTTCTATTTTTTAATACTTACTGAAATGCAAAGGTACTTCCATAAAGAGTTTTAGCAGCTCTGAAATTGGACTCTTTGGCTGGTGGGCTGCTGAGCAGAAGAAACTGGTGTGGGGTGTGCATAAATTTCAATTGCTATACAAGAACAAAAACAGAAGAGGAGAATATTATATCTGTAACAGTTTGACATTCTGATGACTTTGTTATTTTTTTTTTGTTATTTTGTGATTCAGGATGCAGAATAATGGATTTAGATCAAAGGTAGGCAGATTGCATTTCAGTTTTTAGAAAAACTTTGACAGTGGAACCCATCACAGAGAGAGAGCAGGTTATAAACTCCCTTTCCCTACTCATGTTCAAAAAAGGCATCTCTCTTGAACATTTAATTTGAATCCTACACTGAGCAAGGGGGCTTTGCTTAAGTAGCCCCTTCCAACTCTAATTCTAGGATAGCCACAGACTTTGATATGCCGAGACCAAACTCTGTAAAAATTATTTTTGAAAACTACACAATCTGAAATTGAACTTGAAAAAGTAGTTAATCCTTCCCAGTCCACACATTTATCTGGACTGAACTCTTACTCTGTACAGATATTGTTTCCTCCAAAGCAGTGGTTCTCAACCTTTTTAATGACACGACCCCCAACCGGTCGTAAGTTGAGGACTAAACCGGTCGTAAGTCGAGGACTAAACTGGTCGTAAGTCGAGGACTACCCAACCGGTCGTACGTCGAGGACTTTCCCTGCCCGGGAGCGCCGCACATGCGTGGTTCCGCCCCCTGCGCCGGCCGAGGCGTAGCTGGCAAGCGGCAGAGATGGAGCAGGCCGACCACCAGCTGGCCCAGCCCAAGGGAGGTAAGGCACCCGCCTGAAAAGGGGAAAAAAATGGCGGACAGCCTTGCTTGGCGACCCCCGTGAAATGGTCGATTGACCCCAAATGGGGTTGCGACCCATAGATTGAGAACCGCTGCTCCAAAGGATCAAATCTATAGATACTATTAAAATGCATATTTTAAGTATGGGATTAAAAATGGAAATTGTTTTCAAACCAATAAGAGATGCTAATGTTTCCCCCCAAAAAAAGACTGCAATTAAAAATCAGAGAAAGTTTTTTTCCTATATGTGATCATTCTAACCTGATTGTTCCAACAGTAGAGAATCTGGTGACAAAGCATCCACAAGAAAACCACAAGCTTAAAGAACAATGAATCCAACTGGTTGAGCTAAAATTTAAGGATGCTTTTGAGGAATCAACCAGAGAAGAGACTTTCCTGTTGCTATTTCCTTTTCTTTGGAATAATGTCTCTCCAGAAATAAATCAGCATAATACTATTCCAGTTTAGATGCATATTGGGGAAAATAAATGCTTCAACATTGAGAAAAATTGATAGTCACGGTTTCATTGACGGTCAATAATTATGCTATTTTCTTTTGTTTGTGTTAGTTTACAATGTATAGTTTATACTGGTTTTATTACTTTGTACCATCTGGATATATCCTGTGTTGTAAATCATATTGAAAGATTGTTGACAAATAATAAAATGATTATGGCTGATAAGGTACATAAAGAACTTCCTTGGAACTTATCAAGTATTCCACAGTTTTCTAAACTTTTCTTATTGTTTTCTAGAAATAACTTTGGATAGTTCTATTTGGCTATTAGAACTTTTCCCAGTTTTAGTACCTTTGTAAAAGCAAGATTTTTCTGGAAGATCTGCGGATGTGACATAGAAAGCTGTAATGGCAAACTCATTGGGGTTGGGATGATAAGGCATATTTCTCTAGACTTAAAGGATTTCCTATGCCAAACAGTTCATTCTTAAAATATGATATCATCTACAATATATCAGACAAGTCAAATTCGCGACGTCATGTGACATCGCGCGACGTATCGGAACTTTTTCCACATTGCCAGCAATGGGGTGGGCGCGGTTTCCTTGTAACTCATCTGGCCCACGGGCCGGCAGTTTGATACCCCTGATCTATATATTCAGCCAATATTATTTTTTATATAATTAAAGGTTGAGCCAATCATATGTTAGATAACCCAGCAGAACTGAAACACAGAAAAAAATAAGAATGTAATTCCTTATAATTGTTTGTAGGGAAATTTGTCATTATTGCATTCTGCTTCCTTTGAAAAAGCATACTATCCTAATTTTGATGATCTTTCACAGTGTGATGATCTCCATATACTCTCATTACCTCCAGCTTATGAACAGAACCACCATTGAATAGTTGCAATTTTTCAAAGGTAAAGGCACAGAAAAGCAAAATCTACTGATTGATAAACTGAAACTCATTTTCTTCCAAAATCCAACTTGCTCTTAACCTTAAACTTACCCTGTTCACAGGTAGCTTCACAATATGTGATCTATTACTGGAAATAACCCTGAAATAGAGAATATGGGGAACAAATAAATCACAGTTTTTCATGCTAGCCCTGAATGCCAAAATAGTACTGTTGGGAATCTTTATTCCATTTTCCTTGCATTTATATAGAGAAGCTCAACTATTGCAAGGTATATTTTGTCTCCTATGGTAAGCCTGATTATCTGTATCAATCAAGTAAAAATGGTTTACCAAAACTATAGTAAGTCACAAAATAAAATGCATCCTGTTGAATTCAAGGAATCAATCTTCGAGTTCAAAAGAAAATGTAATCTGTACTCTGTTGAATTCAAGGAATCTATGTCATTTTAATTATTTTTAATCAATATGTACAAAGGAAGGGCACAATCCATCTTCAATTAGCTCAGTGTAAATTTGATCCTTTTTGCCCATCTCCCTCCAAGAAATAATGTTATGAATTCTGAAACTCTATTTTGTGTTACAATGCCTACATGACCATTTAATGGCCCAGTCCCTCATGCAGGCAAGAATGCTAAATGAGTTTTTAGAAGTTGTACAGGATTTCCCTATTACACTACTGTAGATAATGCCACAATGCACTGGGCTGTTACTTACTATCTTACATAGGAAGAACAAATTTGGGTTTTCTTCATTTTAACACATCATGTTAACAAGCTATAAGATAACTAGGGGCTTATCATATTTCAAAAATACTCTGAATTAAACAAACAGCATATAAATCTATGTAAAAGCTTTACCACTGTAGTAGAGGATGCGCAAGTGAGTCTTGTCTGTCCATCTGCTTCTTTATTTCTAAATAAGGTGCCTATGAAATAATAACAGTATAATTATCAATTAAGAGATATGCTGGAACTAGATACAAGATAGTGTTGATTCTGGTAATTCTACTAATCCAAGAAACTGTGGATCAGTTTAGCAAGTCACCTAAATAAAAAGCTACCACTTTAAGTCTCCTTTGGGTCAAGCTTAGTTTTTAGTGACCCCATGGGCATATTTATGTAGTTTCTTTGGTAACAACAACAACAACAAAAAATGGATTGTCACTGTCACCTTCATGGATTTCTTCTGGCTTCTTAGGGATTTTCTGGTAATTTCCCACTCAAATATTAAGTAGGTCTGATTCAACTGAACTTTTTGTGATTGATAAGCTTTGGATGAACTATAGTTTAAAATTAGCAATAGTAACATGTTTTCTTATAAAACTGCATCCTATCACTAGTTTCTGGGATTCTTTCCCAGTTATCTCTTAAAAGATATTTGCCACCCAGTGTGGCCAGTTCTCTGTAGGTGTTTTAAGAAATTTCCTTGAACCTGCTTATGCTATCCTTATTTTTCAGTGCTCCCCTAAGCCAGGGGTCCCCAACTCCTGCACTGCGGTCCACTACACTTGCCTGAGCGGAAGAAACTTGCACTCATACACAAAGCTTCACTTGCATGACTGGAAGGTGCTTGCGCTCATGCACGAAGCTCCGTTTACCAGAATGGTAAATGTGCTAGCACCCTCCACTCGCATGAGTGGAGCTTCGCGCACAAGCGCCTTCTGTTCAAGGGGCCTCCGCTCGCATGATCGCAAGTTGATTTCTAAATCAGTATAGATTTTGTAAAAGAAATTAATCTCTAAATCTGTATGTAGTTTGCCTATGTAAGGTTTTGACATTCTATTTTATATGTAGCATTCTACTTACAAAATTCTATGCAGAATTTTGGCAGCCCACTAATTCCCCTGAAGTAATCCCATATTCATCTGTCTCTCTGTTTGTCCATCCGTCTGTCCATCCATCCATCCATCCATCCATCCATTTCTACATTTCCTATTAGGAGTGGGACAGCGCTAATACCTATCTTCACTACCTTTTGAATTAAAATTTGATCTTATTTGTGCCTCTTACAAGTATAATTCACACTTACCCACAACAGTTAGTGAAATATTATTTCATTTTAAAAATTACATTATTGAATGTAATGATCATTGAAAACCTTCCTTGAGAAGCCCATTGTAGTGATTCGTTCAGTGATACCCCAAAGGCTTCTCTTTTATCTTGTGTCAGTGGAGCTGTGCGCACATGCATGCCCTTTTCTCCTCTCTCTCCCAGCTGGGCCACCAAGCTGCCTGCTCCCAATGCTCCAAAAACGGAGTGGTGAGAGCAGAGGCTGAGTGGGATGAGCGTGTCCTGCTCAGCTTCGCTGACTCACCAAGGCTGCTTGCACAAGACACCCGATCCACTTTTGGAGCATTGGGCAGCCTTGGTGAGTCTGAAGGAACACGACACCGCACCCCAAAGGCTTCTCTTTTTGGCGCCAAAAGCAAATGGACAAAAGTGATTTCCTGCTGCTTCAGACCTTCTGTCCCTTTTGGGGTGGAGAAGCCTGAAGGAGTGCAAAACCGTACCCCAAAGGCTTCTCTTCTCTCTTGCATGAGTGGAGCTGCACGCACATGCATGTGTGCCAGTCCAACACTTGTGCAGCCCGGTTCCCCTCTTCCCCCCCAATGGGTCACCAAGCCACAAAGGTTGGGGACCACTGCCTTATAATGTTTTCATGAACACAAAGTTGCATATCCTCAAGTCTGCTCTTCCTCCTAGATGGCCATGAGATCAGAGCTTTTTGCTTTCTGTTTTATAGTAAAAGGACTTGCTAGATACAAACTGAGAAGAATAACTGTTTGTATAAGCAATGGTTAATGTAGCTTGTTTGATCCTGGCTTGTTTGCAAAGTAGTTGCAAACCATTCCTCAGTTAAAATCTGACAAAATATCCTCAGATGATGAAAACCCTTGGTTAGTTTAAGATCAAAGGTTGATTATCTCTTTGTCCTATCTGTGCTGAAACTACAAAGATTTCATGATGTTGCTCATGAACATGAACTAAAACAATGAACTAACTTTAAGATAAATTGGTGCACTATGGAAACTATTCAGAGCAATTTTATGTGGAATGCTTTCCAAGCATCTAATATATACTTCTTAAAAAACTGGTGCCAAAACGAATGAACGAAATATAATAGGTTCTTATCCAGGTATACATCTTTCTAAGTCTCATCAATAATGCTATCTCAAAATCCTCTAAAATGCTATTTAGAGCAGGGCTTTTCAACCTTTTCACAGATTGTACCACTTTTAGGATATGGCAATATTACAATGGCATTGAAAAAAGTGACTTATGACCATTTTCACACTTATGACCCTTGCAGCATCTTCAGGGTCATGTGATTTACATTCAGATGCTTGGCAACTGATTCATATTTATGATGGTCACATTGTCCTAGGGTCATGTTATCCCCTTTTGCAACCTTTTGACAAGCAAAGTCAGCGGGGAGGCCAGATTCACTTAATAACCGTGTTGCTAATTTAACAAACAACTGCAGTGATTCACTTAAGAAATGTGGCAAGAAAAATCATAAAATGGAGCAAAACTCATTTAACAAATTTCTCACCTCTCCATTTATATCCTTTCCCCTTCTTTTATCTTTCTTCTCTCTCCCCCTTTTATATCTCTCTTCTCTCCCCCATTATATCCTCTCTTCTCTCCCCCCTTTCTATTCTCTTCTCTCTCCCCTTTTTATATCCTCTCTTCTCTCCCCTGTAATATCCTTTCTTCTCTCCCTCCTTTCTATCCTCTTTTCTCCCCCTTCTTTTATATCCTCTCTTCTTTTCTCCCCTTCTTTTATATCGCCTCCCCCCCATTTTCTCTTTGGTACATCTCCAGCTGACTGCTCTCTTCAAGGCTGCTCTTCTCTGTCTCTCTTTCACCACCCCCTTCTCTTTCCCCCTATTGTCTTTTTTTTTTGTCTCCCTCTCCCACCAAAACCTGCTCCTTTTATAGCCTCTCCTCTCTCTTCTCCCCTCCTCCTTTTCTCTTCAGGGTGCGCTGGAGGCGCTGATCAGCTCTAACTGTGCGTGCTGATCCTGGGCTCTCAGCAAGACCCAGCCAACACTTTGCGCAGCTCCAGCTGCATCTCTGCCTGAAGACTGCACGAGGCTGCCTGCCACCCCCAAGGCCACTGCCAATCAGCTGGAGCTGAGCGCGCCAATCCTGGGCTCTCAGCAGGACCCAGGCAACACTTCACGCAGCTCCAGCTGACTTTCCCACAATCCTGTGCAGCGCTGCCACTGCTTCATTTCATCCACTTTCATACTTTTTTTACAGTGCTTTTCAACCCATTGTATTCATACCACCTGCCAGATGCCAACCTACCAACAGTGGTACGCGTACCACTGGTTGAAAAGCCCTGATTTAGAGTGTCCCTGAATAGGGTAAACTGGGGAATGAGGAAACAGTGAGAGAATAGAAATTTCTATCACACTGAGAAGAAGAATTTTCTGCATAGCATCTGTAATACCAGCACTTCTTTCTTCTTGTTCCAACTCATATATTCTGTTCAAAGAATGGGCCTCTTCCTAATTGTCAAAATATTGTCCATCTCCTTGCAGCTCCTGAGATATACTGTAAGCTACTGTATTCAGAAGGGTGCATTTTTAGGCAATTGGGGTTTACCATGGAAAGAAGGACCAATAAATCTGCACATTCACAGATAAGTACTGTGACCCAATTTTAAACCTTGAGTGAATGTCACCACATTTTAGTACATCATTTTGACTGTCCAATCTGAAGAGACACATCAAATTTAGCTTCAGCAGAACTTTCAGCACAGTCACAATAGAACCCTCTTCCATCTCCAAATGCTCTCCCGTTTCACTTAAGCGAACAAGCTTTTACTTGCAAAACCATCAGTGTCATTGCAGCAGATTGTTACAAATCTGTATTTTTCCCTTGGCAATTTGCTTGGCTCGTTCCTAAGAATGCACATGAATAAAGAAATAAACACACAAAAATGCAGCAAGGGGCTACTGGTCAGTGCTGTATTCCCCAGACATTGAAACAATCCATTTACTCACAGGCAATCCTGCCCCTAGGACTGAATAAAAAGTTCCTTGTAATGGCATATGATATCAATGGTAACATTCAAGCTTGATCTGTCAATGTTCTGGTTCACTGATTTTATCTTGCAACTTGTTATCTACACAAAGATTGTTTTGATAGGCTTTCCTTGCACGGATCTAATAAAACAGCAATGGTACTACACAGTGCTAAAACTCATAAACACATGTATCATATAATAACAATTTAGAGCACGACAATTCATTTACTTATTTAATTTGCCTACCTGCGTCATTTCTCTTATGGAAGTAATGCTATCCAGTGCTTTCATGACCCGGTCATAATTCTTCTTCTATGGTGAAAGAAATGAAAGATTACTTTTCAGCAAGCATGTTTTAAAGTATATTAACTTTCAGATGTACATATCTCATATAATCACAGAATTGGAAAGATCCATTTAGTTCCTGATTCCAAGTCTCTGCTGTATGTAGGCATTCAAATAAAGAAATCCAGAGCAGACGGTTATCAAAACTCCCTGCTTGAATATATCTTGTGAAAGGATTTTACTGTTATTGTAGCTATCATAACCATTTCCTATAATTTTATACAGAATGTGAAATTTATAATCCCTACATCATTACAAGCCCTAATTATATCAAAATGTTGTATACATGACATCATCATGCAAATAATGCAACTGACATACTCGTGTCAACTGTTGTCATAATATCTGAAACAAGAACATCAATTGCATCACTTACACAAAGACAAATTATATATTTCCCCACCCTTGCTCTCCCTACAAACAGTAAGATACTGTTTGAAACCACATGCTGAGATACTTTCCAATGCTTTAAAATCCATTACAGATTGTATATCAAAAATGTAGCTGAAATTGTGCCTATCAACCAATTGTTGTAGCCCAAAACATCTGGAAATTAT